CAATAAGATTTTTCAAAAAATATTTAATGTACAGATTCGGCTTAGTTACAATTTTATTATATGTATAGATGAATGGCTAAATGTGTTTCATTGTGCTAAGCGCAAAAGTCGAGAACGGCTCGTTCAAATCGGCTATTTTTTTTTCAAATATTCGTTGAAGCCCGAAGAAAATTTTTATGAAGAAGAAAATGGGAAATATTTTCGGAAAAACAAATTCAAATAAATCAATTTATAAAATGAAAATGATTTAGAAACAATGTTGTTATTTTATATTATTTAAATTCAACCTAAAAATATAGGTAACATTACATACCTACCTGTCCCTATTAATTTTATTTGTATCACTACTACCAATAACAAGTTTCTGCTCCAATTACAATATTAATTCGAGATTTTTCGAAGTTTTTGCAATGCGACAAATAATGATTAAAATGGCATAAAGCCTAACTGCGGGAGTAAATATTAAAATAGGTCGAGTACTTTCCACAATGCACATTGCACAGGCCCTAAGTAGTGCTAGCAGTAGGTAATAGGTACCTGCGTAGTGTTTGTATGTATTTCTAAAAAATCTTTTTTATTTCCACTGCGAATATTTCTCTAAGATCGCCATCTTTTCTTTCAATATAAATGGTTATATTGACATGCTTTGATTTGGCTTGAAAATGTAGATTTATGTAATCAAAATGAACCCAGTTTTTAAGATCATTTGAATATTTAATATAAAATTAACGTTAATTAAAAAAATTCTTATTACTTTTTGTTTTAACGTGGGACCAACATATTCTTGTAAATTATGATGTCTTCAGATTCAAACAGACAGACAGAAAGACAACCGAAAACTATGAAAGTAGTGGTTGTGGACTTACTGGGTATATCTACTAGATACGTCACATGCGAGAGTGGACGCCGGCAGTACAAAGTTACACTAATATTAATACGAAAGCTTGAGAGTTCTTATCTTTAATCTTTATTACTTCTTCACATTGTAATGGCTTAACAGATTTTAGTTTTTTTAATGTATAAAGCATAGTACCTGGGCGACCGAGATTCGCTCGGAGTTTTTGACCGAAAAAACATTAAAAAAAACAAACTAAAAATTTGAATAAATACAAAAAAAACAAAAGTAAAAACTTTGTATCCGACCGGGATATGAACCCAGACACCTGTGGTTGACCACGATGCTTATGTCCTAGCGTACGAATTAGCGACCATATTTGCGTGGAATAATGCGAAACAAAATCACTACTACAAAAACTTGAAAACATGCGTTTTCCCAGACATAAATCCAATCTAGATATATTTATCGCCCCCGAAACCCCTTGCGTGCTAAATTTCATGGAAATTATTGCATATTTATATATATATATATATATATATATATATATATATATATATATATATATATATATATATATATATATATATATATTTATATATGATATACTGAATTAACTTAGTAGGCGATTGGAGCTGTGGCTTAAAAACATTCATATCTGACACTACAATAACTACCTACCTAACATACCCACTATCTACGTAATATCATGTCGTCAACATGATATGCATCCTGCAGAGCCATGATACGGGTGATATATTCACTAATATCGATTCGACGTAATTAATTACTGTAATATCGACAGCGGCATATTGACACAAGTACATTGTTTATGTCAAGCTCTTATTTAAAAAGCATGGTATTAATGATTACAATTACAAATGCCATTTTATTAATTACTAGCATTGCCCGCGGCTCTGCCCGCGTTCAGATGACCAAATTCCTAGGTTTTACATATTAGTATACTCTTACAATGTAGTTTTTGTATTTTTTCTCAGAAATGAGACATTTTCCCGCGATAAAAAGTATCCTATATGTTGACCCGGATAACCAGCTATCATCATACCAATTTTTTTCATGATGCGGTCACAGACGGACAGACAAAAATTCCAAAAACTATAGATTCGGCCTCTATATCGATAATAATGTCTATTTCATTCAGATTTTTCAAAAAATATTTAGTGTATAAAGTTAGAATTTTATAATATGTATGTATAGACTTATTTTCGGCCAAAAGTCGAAAATCGACCAAATTCATTTTTATTTATTCATAACACTAAGGCTAGTCAACAGCTACAAAAAAAAAAGAAAATCAGTTAAAAAACAAACAATGGAGAAAAAGATACTGATCTGTTTGTTCTTTGTTTATTTATATATGTACATTAGTTTATAATGGTTATTGTTATATTTGGTCAGATATTAGATATTAAATACTTTTATATATATTGCCTCCATTTTTTGTCAGTCGTTTGTACACACGTAACTCTGGACCTACTGTGTTACATCATTCTATTTTTAGCTTAAAATACATAAGTTCCTTACGGACAGTCAAATATAAATCTAAATATAAATACCCATTAAGGGTCTAATAAATACTTTAAACTGATTTTGACGTCGGTCTTTTTAGTCAAAAAATAATTATAATGTCACAAATGTTTTTTACTTTTAAACGTTTTTGAACTTTTATCAATTGCTAAGTAATTTTTGACAGATTTTATGTTAGTAGAAAATTTGTCAAACTCATTACTAAAGATTTTGACTAAAATTTAAAGCATTTTTTTCGTAAGTTGACCAATACTTACAATGAGAATACATTTTGTATGCATTTTTGATAAAAGTACTAATGATATCCACATTAATATTATAAATGTGAAAGTGTGTTTGTTTGTTTGCCCTTCTTTCACATCGAAACAGAGTGACGGATAGGCGGGGTTTTTTTGTGGAGATAGTTTGAGGACTGGAAAAGTGACATGGCTACTTTTTACTGCTGGAGATTGTCTCATTTCCACGGGAAAACACGTTATAATACAACCCAAAAAAATATTTATGATCAGAATTACTTGAGATAATTGGTATTTAATGCTCTTCAGTAGGTACAATTAAATAAATACGTTATCCCATAAGGGGGTAAAGTAGGGGATGAAAGCTTGTATGAAACCTGTCTTTTTAGAGTTTTTTTTGGTAATTTTAGCTCGAGCAAAGCCGTGGGTTCTGCTAGTTAAAGTTATAAAATTAAAACATATATCTAGATAACAGTAAAGAACATTTCTATAAATTAATGTAATGGATTAGTTTCAAGCGGCTTGTCTCATTACAAAGCAGTGACATTTATTCGTATTAAAATCCTACTGGCTTTAAAATAAATAGTTTATGTACTCCATCAACTTTTGTTCCTTGTCAAATAAGATTTTTTTATAACTTCATATTATTATTAATTCATGCAAATAACCTTCTAGATTAAATAACCAATTAAATACAAAACGAAATGTTCAAATCTATCTGATATATGATATATAGCAAGAACAAAAAATGAAAGCTTTTGAAAGTGAAGCTTTTTAGGTTAAACTATTATAAAAATAATTAAAAAATAATATCTATATAAAATGTATTTTCTAATTATGCATATATAGCGTGAACTGCATCGAAGAAACAAATCAATTTTCTTTACTCACAGTAGCAGAGCAGCCTTGTGTGTGCATCACTTCAAGTACTGATTGCTTTCTCGGAATATGGCAGTTATTGTCAACATGAATATATACGCAAGTTTAGTTGCAAGTATTGGAAATGCAAACTTTGAATTGATGGTTAAACGAATTTCTTAGTAACTTCTCTCCGATATTGATGTTCTGAAGGGAAATGTAAAGTAAGAAGTCGATTAAAGTTTTATGAGGCATTTTATTTCTATAAGAGATATAGTAAATTGTAGAGAGCTTAAATCTTATATCTTTAAACGAGCAATTCTTGTAGGTATATATATAATCTGAATCTCGGAAACGGCCCCAACGATTTTCATGAAATTTTGTATATAAAGGTTTCGGGGGCGATAAATCGATCTACATTCGTTTTATGTCTAAGAAAACGCGTGTTTTCGAGTTTTCATGCAGTTTTCTTTTTTCATTATAGATCGTGTTCTCGTATTATTTTATGTAAGATTGGCTAGTTTGTATTCGATATGGCAACCTCGACTCACTTTCCATCTGAGCGCGCTCTGGAGCCATCTATTCGCAAATCAGATCATTCCACTGTCTAAAATCTCGTCGTAGTTCATTGATTCCTATCACCCGTGGAATCCCGCCTATAAGGATGTCATGTTTCTTATTTTTATTAGTTTTCTGTTTTTATGTTCTAGTTATTTAAGTCTATTTGCAAGTTTGGAAAAGATTTCGTTCTCCTAATGCGTGAAAAATTATTCAAATTTTTTAGTATTTTACAATTGCAAGTGACCTAAAAAGAATATGATTTTTTTAAAAGCATAATTAAGGGCTCCATTACTGCTTCAATAGGGTGACCAGTTCTTAAAGCGTTGATTTAAAACAATGAAAATGCGGGCAACACTCGTTATGAAAGATTTCAATAATTTCTACCCAAATTATTAATTCAAAGAAACCTTTAGATGAATATTCAAAGCTTGTCCACCAGTTATTATTAGACTTTTTTGGCTTCTAATTGGGCATGATACGAAAACGTCCGCAAGGGCTAATGGAAATGTGATCCGAAATAACAGGAACGTCATCGGAATCTTATTTTTGGAATAAATACGGTATATTTTATAATTTTCAAACTTTACATTGAAGTATCCAAATTATGAATCATTTTCATCTTTATATTTATCAACTACATACATAAATTATTATATTAAAGATATCATTCCAATATATGACAATACAATTGGAGAAATTAAGACTGAGTAAAGGCCTGTTTACATCGTGCAAGAAGCTATTTTGAGAAAGAATTAACTTTAGTGCCAAATTATATAAAGATAATAAAAAACAAATTCAAAAGTCATATTTAGCGAAATGATTCAAATAAGGTGTTAAAGAAATTGGAACTTTTATCAACAATTAAATAACTAAAGCTTAACAAAATGGGTGAAGAAAAATTGAACGTCTGAAATTTGAATATCGAATACGACATAATTAGTGCGCGCGTAGTCGCGGCAACGCTAACCGCGGCGCGTTGCGCCGCACGGGGCCCCGCCAAGCTGGGCGAACACGCGGCCATGCTCGCCGTTGCCATCTGCTGCATCCTCGTGTTGCTGCTCGTCTTCATCATCCTCATCATCGTCGTCGGGCAGAATATGGATGTGAAAGGCGGCTCATAGCAGCAGAAAGGTAAATATTATATTTCAGTCCATAGGTGGCCTCACAGTAACCTATGTGTTCCTCTAGATCAGGGAATCCCAAACTATTTTGCACAAGAGACCCCTTTTCCAAAATGAACTGACACCATAGTCAAATTACTTTAAAAATCTTATCACTAGTTTTTTTTCCTATTGATACAAAATACTTAGGAATTTTACAACTTTTGCACGCAAATCGACTTGTTATAAGTACAAAAAATGTTACTTCCCACAAAAATATTAATCATTCTTATAACAACCCTTAACTAGAGACTATAAGAAAAGTGGCGTTGGACACATTCTTAGATATATTATTTTATAACACTAAGTTAAAGTTAAATTACTTATTAGCCTTTTTGTGTAGATCGTTATAATATTAGGTTATAATATTTAGCATTGCTACTGTAAGGTTGCATTTTTATATATTGACTATTGAGTGTTTTAATAGAAAATAATATATTTGATTAATTTGTAATGATTTATGTATAAGGCATTTACTTATGTGACCTTGGCCGATACGAATGTGTTTTAAAAAAAATAAATAAAAAAGGGCGCGGATATTCATTGGTTTTCCCGCGCTTTTGAACAGAGATGTCGGTACCACCCTGTATGTAGGTCACTACGAATTGTTTGTAATACTGAAAATTATGATTATAAATTAAATAATCATGTAACTCACTGACGATTATAAAAGTACTGAATATAAGAATATAAGATAAGCACTTGTGTAAATTAATAGAGGTCTAAAAATCGACCCCGATTTTTAGACTTCGTTGACCCCCAAAATCAGCTTTCGTTTATGTCAACCCCTGGGAAACCGACGTGACCAATTTGGGAATCCCTGCTCTAGATAGCATTTATATATTTAGTAATCCGATATCAAAAATAAACGGTAATTACTCAGTTTCATGACGATCAATCTGAAAAATAGATGGTATATTTTGAGATTCGTTCCATCATAGTAAAGGATATTCATCAAGGGAGGCTGACAATTTTTATTATTTTCATCAGTTACGAGATTTTGAAGCTCCCGGAAACAGATGATAAAATGCGGCATTTCCGAATATTTCGACGTTTCATTTCGATGTTACTCGTAGGTGTGGGGTGTTAAGTTTTATAAAACTTTTTTTACTCTTTTGGCTACAGTGCCGAAATTAAATTGCAAAACCCGAACAAAATGATTGTCGACTGAAATTACTTTCGATGATGATATTTTTATTAAAAAATATATTGGATGATGGATACAGGAGTAAATCACCGTAGATAGAGTTTCTAGTTTTAAAAAATATCCAACAATAAAAGTTTTCATTTATTGATGTAGATTGTAGAAAATCACTTTGCTTAGAACTTTAGATGAATAAAAATGACTAAAATATTCTTTTATAGAATATCTATACTATTGTGAGTTTGTAACGTTGTGGGGGGTAATCTCTGGATCTACTAAACCGATTTAGATGAAATTTGGTAAGAAGATAGTTAGTTGAAGAAACCCGGGGAAGGACATAGGTTACTCTTTATCCCAGAACTTATCCCTTAAGGGGGTGAAAATGGGGATGAAAGTTTGTATGTTGATTCAACCTAGGAACGAGCGAAGCGAGGGTGAGTCGCTAGTTATTTATATTTTTCTTTTTTCCTAGTACTTTTTCAGCATGTTAATGTTTCTTACGATGAGATCGCACTACAGGTTTTATACAGGCGCTCCTGTTAGCAAGCATCCAATTTACACAAACGAGTTTTGTATTGAGTTTGAAACCTTAACAAAGTTCGAATGCACTACGGAACAAACAATACAAATGAGATTTGGAAAAAGAAATAGTAGAAGTGTTCTCCTATTCAGTTCTCACTATTTCCTTTAAACAACCTTGCCTCTTCATAAAAATGTATGAACAAGAAGTAAATAGAGCCTCTAAAAAGTATATCAAACTCCTCCATACCCATGACTGATTCCATGTTATAGACGTGTCTTCGAACAAATGGGAAACTGGAATTTTCAAAACAATAAAATGTTTACAATATGTTTTATACTCAAGACATTTTGTACATAAATTAAGATTTTTAAAAACAAAGCAAATTCTTTATATTTTTATCTTAAGAGGATGGGGAGAACGAAAATACACAAACAACAATCATCGACTCTCGCGCTAAGCCTCTGTCAAGGGCTACGATCACGAACTCAAGGATTTTTTTTAATTAAAACTTCCTGTCATTACTTCAACTTAGAAACATACGTTGCAAGATAAAAATAATTATTATTTAATACTAGCAGAACGCGCAGCTTCGCTCGCGCTAAAACTACAAAAAACCCTCTAAAAAGGTAGGTTTCATACAAACTTTCATCCTCTACTTTACGAAATGAGATAATTTCTCGCGGTAAAAAGTAGCCTATGTTACTCTGCAGCCCTCCAACTATCTCCACACAAAATATTATGCGGATCTGTCACTCTGTTTCGACGTGAATGAAGGACAAAGAAACAAACACACTTTCTCATTTATAATATTGGTATGGATTAGACAAAGATATGTTTTTAAGCATCAGATTAAAGTTATTCACAGTAATAAATATAATATAAAAAAATTAGAAATACTGTAAAAATTTAATTATTTCACTAGTATAGATAATATACTCTCAGTTACTCTTAGTTAATTCAAGTTACTCTCTGTTAGTTATAGTTTAATTGATAGATAAGTTTTTTTTGTTGGGACATTAACACACAACACCATCTAGTTCCATGGTAAGCTACGAGGCTTGTGTTATGGATACCAGATAGTTGATACACTACACATATATAACTTTAAATACACACAAATAGAGGCAGTGGTAGCCCAGTGGTAACACGCTCGCTTGTGTAACCGAGTGAAGCGGGTTCAAATCCCGGGTCTCGCACCTCTGATATTTTCATGTGCGAATCATTTCTAACATGATTACCACTTGCCTTACGGTGAAGGAAAACATCGTGAGGAAACCTGCATGTCTGAGAAAACCTTGCAAGTTTTCGTAAGACATGTGAAGTCCGCCAATCCGCACTTGGCCAGCGTGGTGGACTATGGCCTGATCCCCTTCGTATGAAGGGAGGCCCGTGCCCAGCAGTGGGACATTAAAAGGGCTGAATACATACATACACACAAATATAAACACCCATTACTGGAGTACAAACATTCGTGCTCATCACACAAATGAATGCCCCCGGCGGGACTCGAACCTGCGACCGATGTCACAGCAAGTAGGGTCACTACAAACTGAACCAAACGTGTCGTCAAATTATATTTGTTGATTTCAAAACACACCTTTAATATTCATAGAACTTTTTCAGAATCACGATTTAGTTTCGGAAACATGAACATTTAAACAATCATACTTGACTTTTGGGTAACTGATGCAATTGAAAAATCGTTGAAGAGTTTATCAATTAGTGGGATTGATCCGATTGCATTGTAATCAATAAATTGGTCATGAAAGTCTATTACAGCAACCGTTGTTTGAACATTTCTGCTATTTCGTTTTTAATATGAGGTAGTTAGAAGTTGATAATTTTCGAAAAAAGAACGTATTCCTCAAACGCGAAAGATTCCTCTAAAGCGCTAAAGGGATATCGCAAAACGTTTAGAAAAGAGTTGCTTGAACTCAACAAGTTTAAAACCAGTGCGGTAACCAGAATACTTACTGGTCACTGCAAACTTAATAAACATATGTTTACCCTCGGCCTCAGTCAGACCGCAATGTGCAGACTATGTCATGAGACAGAGGAAACTGCTATGCATATCCTCTGCTTCCGCTTGACCACTCATGCACCGCAGAAGTATCTATCTAGGGCAGCATATTTTGCAACCGGAAGAGATACAGATGCTCCGCGCCTAGAAAATCTGGAAGTTCCTGGAGTCAAACTATAAATTCATTCTAAAGGGAGCTACAATGGACCAAAACTGGTCGACGTAGCTAGGGCCGACCTCGGCACCATACCCAACATAATAATAATAATAACGCCAAAGATATTAAGAGAGAGTAGTACATACCTACGTATGTACGAATTGTTGTGATTGATGAGTTTTTATAATATTAGTTGAAGTGTAATTCTATAACGACAAGATAGATTACAATGAACTATTTTGGTTATATAATATATATATATATATATATATATATATATATATATATATATATATATATATAATTATTAGTTTTTAAACAACATAGCGTGCTAGTGTTTTAATCGCTTAAATAGACCCAAATATACATACACACAAAGAACATGAGACTTTAAGTCCCAATAAAATTGTAAAGATTTAGGATAAACCTATAACTGCTAGGTAAACAAAAAAATTTTTCATAAGAAGTTCCCTAATAACGAAATGTGAACACAATTTTTCAGAAAGTAAACAAAAATGGAATTCTAAAACTTTCATAATATGGCATGGGCGTATCTAACTTCCTGGAGTGACAGCACTGAAACAGTTCTAGGGCGCGGTTAGTTCAGACTTAGTTTTGCAGGGGAGATAGTTTAGTATACTAAACTAAAATTATTGGGTAGAATTACAGGTTTAAATGTAATAACTTTTGCCGTACCGTCGCCTATCGTAGAGAAGAGTATAACAGGGCTACGGACTTTGGAAAGTCTTTAAAGTATACTATGACAAAGCAGACTTCTTTCAAGTTAAGTAACGGCACGTTTAATATTAAGTGAGACTGCTACCAATTAATATGTATCTATCTTACTAATATTATAAATGTTATTTTAAATGTTTGAATGTTTGTTACTCAATCACGCCAGAACGGCTGAACGGATCTGGATGAAAAGCACAGAGATATACTAAAGTCTGGAATAGCATAGAGGATACTTTTTATTCCGGAAAAAATGTATGGTTCTCGTGGGATAGGTTTATTTTTGCTATTCCAATGTATGTATATATTAATATATTATGTACCTACATTTCATTTCGGGTAAATTGAAAAATATTTAAGTATTTTTTTAAATATTTCACATAATTATCATTAAGAAGACATTTAAAGCTCATTTTTTTTAAATAATATTTAGATTAAATAAATGGCTTAAAAGCTTTGAAGAATATAGTGATATATACTAATCCCATGTCAAGTTAATAAATATAACTTGGATTCGAAATAAAGATATTGAAAGCTTCATTTGAAAGCTTCGAGTAAATAAGTCAGTGTTCATGAATAAACATAATAAACATAATAAATGCATTACTCCAGCTTTCTGACTTCTGCATCAACTATACGACGACTAATATAAATCCCACACACAGCGGATTACGGACTACAAGAACGTGATCTGTTAGGTGTTATTTATTTTATTCTAGCTTTCATATAATTTATTTGAGAATTAAATGTAAAATATAAACTTGAAAAAAATACGGACTTTTAAAGTTATACTTCTTGTGGTACGTTTGGAAAAAAATATGAAATTAAAATTTTTACGGATCGCGCGCACACAGACAGCCAAAAAGCGACATGATGAAGTTAGCTGCATTCCCTTTACAAACAGAGACTTGTGACATACGGGATGAAATCTTTAGCTATTTTTGTTCTGTTACGCCAAAGAAGTATAACTTCTTACGTGCGTACATAAGTACACACACACTTTTTTGTTTTTGTAATTCTATTAATAATGATGTTATACTGCTAATAATAATAATAGTATAATTCATAAGAATTTATCAAAATATTGGATTTTTTTGGATTGTTTTGATTGAGAGCTGTCTCTCAGGGAATATTTTGTTTGTTTGCAAGTAAATCTTCAGACTTTTAATTATTTATGTGACTTATTTCTAATATTATTTATATACAGGCAACATTAGCCTATAAATTATTCCAGTTTGTAATCTATCCTTGCACAACATCCAAATCTGTCTACCCGTTTCAACGTGAAGAAGAACAAAATACATTTTTTAGATACCCAAAAGAACACAGCATCAATCAAACAAAATCAATAAATTCCTGTGAAGTAGTCACTAGTGGGAATGCGATTTGTACGTTTAATATCCTTTAATGAGGCTAATCCTTTGATCTGCAGTTTTCAATTATAATTATTAAATATTGATATAAATCCACATTCTCGCTGAGCTTCGAGCACGTAGCCTAGCGGAAATAGAACAGGAGGTTGCCATATAGATCTCGCGTCTCGTTTCCTCTTTTGAATGAGACTGCGTTTATTAAATGACTAACTTTACAAACTGTACTTTGTTCAGTCCAGATAAAAATATATGTTGTAAAAATATAGTTTAACTAGCATTTCCCACGGCTCCGCCCGCGTTCAGGTAACCAAAAACCAAATACTTAGATTTTATATATTAGTATAACTCTTACATTACAGTTTTTGTTTTTTTTTCTCAGAACTGTGATATTTTCCCGCGGTAAAAAGTATAATACATGTTGACCCGGATAACCAGCTATCAATCACCATACCAAATCTCATCAAAATACCTCCAGTGTTTTTTCCGTGACGCGGCAACAGACAAACAGACGGACAAAAATTCTAAAAACTATAGATTCGGCCTCTGTATCGATAATAAGGTTTATTTCAATAAGATTTTCCAAAAAATATCTAATATACAGATTCGGCTTAGTTACAATTTTATTATATGTATAGATGTTACAATGGGTTCTTAATCCTGATTACCTTACATATTATCAAAAGGTACTCTTTACCTTTTTTGACGTTATAGCTGTTATCCTAATGAAAAAGTTAATTATTTTAAC